CTTTGTCATCCCCAGGCTGGAGTGCAGTAGCACAATCTCAGCTCACTGCAGTCTGCACCTCCTGGGTTCAAGCGATTCTCTTGCCTCACCCTCCCAAGTAGTTGGGACTACAAATGCGTGTCACCACGCCCAGCTAATTTTTGTATTTTTAGTAGAGACAGGGTTTCACCATGTTGGGCAGTCTGGTCTCGAACTCCTGGCCTCAAGTGATCTGCCCACCTTGGCTTCCCAAAGTGCTGGGATTACAGGCATGAGCCACTGAGCCCGGCCTACACCCCACATTTTCTCTGAGCCATCTTCAAAGGCAGTTTACTAGTCCTGCTGAAGAGACAACTGTCATTTACATAGCATTTTAAAGTTTTACAAAATACTGTCATGAATTAGGTTAAACCATATGAAATTGCTGATATTTGACCAGCTGTGACTTTTCAAACAACAGTTTCATGTAGTTTAACCTATACATTATTTCAATTAATTCTTGGAACAGACGTGAGGTAGGTGAGGCAATTCTCTCTTTTTACTAACCTACAAAGTACCTTTATAGATGTGAGATGATTCCCAGCTATTAAGTAGTAAATAGAGCTGGGACTTGAGCCCCAATCTTCCAGCTTCAATTCAGATCATATGACAGCTTGCTGATTAAACTAGATGACTAAGGAGATCTCTTTCCTTCAGACACACATACTTTTTCTCTCTTCCCCTCTCCCTATCAGCTAGATTCCCCTAAATCACTGATACTGGTTTTGTAATTTTGCATTGGCATGTTTGATAATTGGTATCACATTTTTTTGGTTTTTCATTCTTTTTTGGTCTGAACTTTTCATTTCTGCTTTTAAAGGAAATACTTTCGGAAACAAACATGTGGGTTTGCAATTTATAAAGCAACTTTTCCGCTTATTTTCTTAGAATATTGATATACTTTGCAATGAAGCAGAAAACAAGCTTATGCATATACTGCATGCAAATGATCCCAAGTGGTCCACCCCAATTAAAGACTGGACTTCAGAGTCGTACACTGCTCAAATCATTCCTAGTACAGGAAATAAGCTTCTGGTAAGTTAATGTAAACTCAAGGAATATTATAAGTATTATATATGGAGGCCATCATATATTCTGTTGTATACCTAGTAAACATGGTAAAATGTAATTAAACTTAATTAGAAAGTGTTATGTGGTTCCTATAAATATAGGTTATTTAGAAATTTTATTTATTGAAGCAAGATATGAAACTTTGGGTGCAAACTTTCCAAACAGGTGCTTTCTTTTTTTTTTTTTTTGAGACGGAGTCTGGCTCTGTCGCCCGGGCTGGAGTGCAGTGGCTGGATCTCAGCTCACTGCAAGCTCCGCCTCCCGGGTTCCCGCCATTCTCCTGCCTCAGCCTCCCGAGTAGCTGGGACCACAGGCGCCCGCCACCTCGCCCGGCTAGTTTTTTGTATTTTTAGTAGAGACGGGGTTTCACCGTATTAGCCAGGATGGTCTCGATCTCCTGACCTCGTGATCCGCCCGTCTCGGCCTCCCAAAGTGCTGGGATTACAGGCTTGAGCCACCGCGCCCGGCCAGGTGCTTTCATATACATGTGATTGAAGTGTTTTTGCCTATTTATTTCACTGTTCCATACAATTAGGGTTGTTTCTAAGCTGTTTGTAAGCTGTTTCTAAGCTGTTTAAGTGGTTAAATCACAGTAGATGCAAATCAAGCTAAAGTCTTTAATATTGGCTAATGGCTGATTCTTAAATAGCTAATACTTGCTAAGGGTATCTATATTAACTCATTTAATCCTCATAACAACCCCATGAGATATAACCGACATCCTCACTTAACATTGTCAATAGGTTTTTGGAAACTGATTTTAAGGGAAGTGATGTATAACAAAACCATTTATTTTTCTCATCAGTGTTCTAACAAAATGATGTTGAAGGAAATGACATTGCCCAAAGACCTGCTATATATTGTTTGACTCAAAGTCACAGTTTCCAAGAACCTGTCAATGATGTTAAGTGAGGACTTTACTGTATTATCCTCATTTTATAGATGAGGAGACTCATCTATAGAGAGCATAGAGAGAGGTTAAGCAATTGCCTAATAAAGTCATAAAGCTAGAAAAGTAGATATTAGAACCCAGGTAGTGTGTGTTCTTAAGATGGCTTTAAAATGTTTATGTTTGTTTAATCTGTTAATAATAAAAAAGAAAAGATTGAAGCGTAAGTGGTGTCCACTACCTCCTTTTAATCTTTTACTGTGATTATTCCTCTTCTTCCTTTCTTTTAATGTCATTTTATATGCTCTTATGCAAAATTACTTCCATCTAGAATAGGAATAATGTGAATTGAAATCACCTAACCTATTAGCAATTAGGGGAGGGAGATTGTGTGTAATATTTGCGTGCTTAAATATTTTCAATGGAAAAAGTTACTTCGATTTAGTTTTTTATGTTAGTACGTAATTATGATAGGCTACGTTTTAATTTTTTTATCAGATATCTTCTCCTAATTGTGAGCTATATTATCAAAGTCCTTTATCACTTTGTATGGCCAAAAGGAAGTCTGTTTCCACACCTGTATCAGCCCAGATAACTTCAAAGTCTTGTAAAGGGGAGAAAGAGATTGATGACCAAAAAAACTGCAAAAGGAGAAGAGCCTTGGATTTCTTGAGTAGACTGCCTTTACCTCCACCTGTTAGTCCCATTTGTACATTTGCTTCTCCAGCTGCACAGAAGGCATTTCAGCCACCAAGGAGTTGTGGCACCAAAAACGAAACACCCATAAAGAAAAAAGAACTGAATTCTCCTCAGATGACTCCATTTAAAAAATTCAATGAAATTTCTCTTTTGGAAAGTAATTCAATAGCTGATGAAGAACTTGCATTGATAAATACCCAAGCTCTTTTGTCTGGTTCAACAGGAGAAAAACAATTTATATCTGTCAGTGAATCCACTAGGACTACTCCCACCAGTTCAAAAGATTATCTCAGACTGAAAAGACGTTGTACTACATCTCTGATCAAAGAACAGGAGAGTTCCCACTCCGATAAAGAAGAATGTGAGAATAATAAGCAGGACACAATTACAACTAAAAAATATGAGCATTTGCAAAGGTGACAATAAATTATTGACGCTTAACCTTTCCAGTTTGTAAAACTGGATATAATTTCAAACCACACGTTAGTATGTACGTTGCACAATGAGAAAAGAAATTAGTTTCAAATTTACCTAAGCATTTGTATATCAGATGTTCTTGGCCCAACTCTGTATTGGTATACTTTTGCTTCAGTTGCATATCTTCAAACTAAATGTAATTTATTAACTAATCAAGAAAACCATCTTTGGCCGAGCTCAGTGGCTCATGTCTGTAATCCCAACACTTTGAGAAGCTGAGGTGGGAGGAGTGCTTGAGGCTAGGAGTTCAAGACCAGCTTGGGCAACATAGGGAGACCCCCCATCTTTACAAAGAAAAAAAAGAGTGGGGAAAAAAAATCTTTAAATCTTTGGATTTGATCACTACAAGTATTATTTTACAAGTGAAATAAACACCATTTTCTTTTAGATTCTGTCATTAAATGAAATGAGGTCTCTTAGTACAGTTATTTTTATGCAAATAATTCCTTTTAGTTTAGCTACTATTTTAGGGAATTTTTTTTTAAAGGTAACTCACTATGAAATAGTTTTCCTTAATGCACATGTTGGTTCTGCTGTAGTTCCATCCTGTTCAAAAGGCAGGATGAATGTGATAGAGTGGTGTTTCCTTTTGAGCAATTCCTCATCCCTAAGTCAGCATGATTATAAGAAAAATAGAACCTTCGATGTAACTCTAATTCCTTTTTACTATTCCAGTGTGATCTCTGAAATTAAAAGTAAAAATTCAAATACTTTAAATCAGAAGATTTCATAGTTTTTTTTTCCCCCCAACAAAATGGTCATCCAAACTCAAACCTGAGAAAATATCTTGCTTTCAAATTGGCACTGATTCTGCCTGCTTTATTTTTAGCACTATCACAGGACCCAGAGCCTATGCCCTTTTAAACTTACCACAAAAGCAGATTAGTTCAATTTAAGATGATATTCTCATTTGTTATTTCTTTTTTTTTTTTTTGGAGATGGAGTCTCACTTTGTCGCCCGTGTTGGAGTGCAGTGGCATGATCTTGGCTCACTGCAGCCTCCACCTCCCGGGTTCAAGTAATTCTCCCACCTCAAGCCTCCCGAGTAGCTGGGATTACAGGGACACACCACCATGCCCAGCTAATTTTTGCATTTTTAGTAGAGATTGCATTTTACCATGTTCGCCAGGCTGGTCTCAAACTCCTGACCTCAGGTGATCCACCCGCCTCAGCCTCCCAAAGTGCTGGGATTATAGGCATGAGCCACCGCGCGCAGCCTTACTTGTTACTTTCTTATGTTTAATAGAGAAAAGGGATAAAGCAGTTCTAACTAGGAGTTAATAGCATGAAGAAGTTCTTAAATCAGATGTTTTAATGCCTTCAATTTATATATAATATCATGTTTTCAAATCTAATTATAAATATGTTTAAAGCCAAGAATAAATCTTTTAAAAAATTAACTTGTTTCCTTCCATAACTGTGATCCATGATTTTTCTCTTCTGTAAAAAGCATTAACAAAAGTGTCTGTTTTGCTACTCCTTGTAACTTAAGTATTCTGCAAGTCTTATTAATGTGACTTAAGTTTTATTTCTAAAACAGTTTGGTTTTCACATCCTAATTTTGCAGTGATCTACTCTAGAACAAGGAATAAAACTTGGGTTTCAGGAGAACAGAAAAAAATTATAAGAATTTCACCTTTTCTTTTTTGAATCCTTGGTAAAACTGCTATTGTCTGTTCTCATGTAGAACACCCATTATATTGATAGATATTTAATGCACACTTTTTTATAAATTATAAAATCTAAATTACATGAACAAAATATGAAGCTTGAGTATATGTGTATATTATCCCCTCAAAAGTGACAATTTAATGATTACAGAGTCAACACACTGCATTATCAGGGATAATGGTAAAAATCTGTGTTATTTATTCAGCAATCATTTAATGAGATCCTATTGCACATAAAGAGCATTTGCCAGCTTTATGAATGATGCAGACAGTGAACACAATACAAGTCAATACTGGGTGTTCAAAGAGTTATACAAATCAGGAGCCATGGGAGTTGAAAGGAAAAACAGATCACTTCTATAGGGGATAACGTTGATGGCACTGATCAATTTTTATGGTTTACAGACCAACTATTTCAGGGGTCAGCTAGGGGAAGAAGAGACATTAAATAGGCCAGGAAACTATTCTTTAGAGCTCTATAAAAGTTATATAACCCTAGTGGTCACTCACTTAGCCCAGGTGAGCCCAAAACCCTGAAGCAGGGAGCCAGCCAAGTCAGGAGGGCTTGAATCTGGTCCTTTGAACCGCTCCTGTGAAATCAAAGGAGGGTAATTTCCACTTTGGGCTCTCTGACATTTCTCCCCTCTACTAGCCCAGATGAGTCAAGCCATCCATATTGAGCTGGTTGTGCCACCACCCTATCAACCAAGATACCCAGGACCACCTGGGCCTGGAAGATGGGAGCATTGTTAAGTGGATCATTAGGAGATTATTGTATGTTATGCTTGGAGATACAGAATTTAGCAAAACTGATAACACCTTAGATTCATTGTTATTTACTATTGTCAGCCAAACTTAAAGGAGATACCAGTTTTTAAAATGTTAATGAAGAAAACATTACATACGTGTTGCTGGTAGTCAGGGAGATGTTGAGCAGGTTTCAGTAGTGTCAGATAATGTTAAAACAGTCTCATGTACACAGATCAAATATATAAGCAACTAAATTATAAGGTTGCTTTTGTCATTACCTTTATGATCCCTATTTATTAAAAAAAAGACCGGTAAATAAGCCTGTGATACAGAAAAACTGGTATATTGTTGAGTTTCTTGGCATTTAGGTAATTAAATTTTTTTATTGTTGAATCAAAAAAAGATCCAATGACAAATCCATATAAATGTGATACCATTTACAATTTTTAATAACCATAAAAAGCACCATTATATAGGACACTTAAAATAATTTTTCACAGAACATTAGAAAGAAGCTGTTGGCCAACAAGAAGTAGAGCATACGTCCTCTGTGGTCTTGTCTATCGTGATCTCACGCTAAATCTGATTCCAACCTGTCGGAAATTGATTTGGATTCATAAATTCAGCATCAGTATAAGAAGACATTCCAGAGTTATGAGGACTTGATTGTCTTAATGCCACATAAAACATCAACTGCTCATTTTGTAATGAGCATGGCTTTTATATATCCCTGTATGACCTATATCCTGGGGTGCCTAATTTCTTGCACTCCCAAACATTTGAGCTGCCAACTAATTACACATGTTAATAGGCATAATTTTAGAAGTCATTTAGCTATTCCTTTTAAAAGTTAGTGTTTTATGAAGGCAGGCTTATTTTATTTACACTATTAGCACAACAGCCAAAAGTTATTCAGGTTTAATCCTCCTGAATAAAGTAGTAAAAACACAAGGTGTGACTTTAAATAATGATACTGATTTCCCTCAGTAGCTCCTATAGCTATTACGGATTTGACAGTATTTTTAACAATGATACATCATTAAAATAAAGGAATAACTTCCCAAAGTGTCTACTTTGAAGGACGTTGTTCCCAGATGTATACTTTCTGGCATATTAACATTAAAGGAAAATCAGTATCATAGAGTCGCACATCTCACATTTTTAGATACATAGATTATCAAAATAGCAATGGTGCTAAAACTTTTCCTGCCCCCCCACCACTTTTCTCCACCTTCCCAACTTTCCTGATGGAGATGAATTTCCTGAAAAAATAAATAGATCACTTCAGAGAAAATGGTACTGAAGCTTATATATAATATAAACGCTTTATTTCATCTATGAACCTATGTAAATAATTATGTTCTTGGGTGTGTTCTCAAGTTTTGGTTTCAAATTCTTACCCTAGAGAAAGAGCCTGTTGACTCAAATCTGCAGAATTCCCAGCATCAGACCATGCATATAGAAGCACTTTAACAAATTTTGGTGAAGATAATGAATATAATGACTTTGCTCAGAAACGTTTGAGTTCAGCTATTTAACACTGGAATTGGAGCTCTGACTAAAATGCAACAAAGAATAACAAAAATTGAAGTAGAAACTGACTTCGGAAAATTCTGCATGGCTGTAAGATAGGCCTCTAATATCCATGGTGACAACCGCCCCTTCTGTTATAGGAGCTCTCATTTGTAAATCCGCCGTGGGCCCTCCGGTTTGGAAACTCTGTGTAGGAATTCCAGTATCTGGCATTGTTGGAAGGCAGTGCATTATTCCTGTCCTGGCTTCTGTTCATTCTGCTTGGTTTTTCTGCATGAAGCACACTGTGAAAGGTAACATCGTGTTCATACCGTTCTTTCATTCGGTGGATTTTTTCTCTTGAGACACCATGAATGTTTCTTCTACGTGGAAAAAAGAAATGCATTTAGTTAAGGCAGGATATCACAATGAGTTACTTATATTTCACAAGTCCTCTAGGATTGCAGATATTGCAGTCCCTGTTCTCAGGACTTAGCTGTGGCAAAAGCATAATATCTTGTTCAGCAGTTCTCTTTCAGCCTCCATTCAGGTTTTTCATGCTGCCCTGCATACCCCAAACCACCCTGAGGCTAGCAAGGAGCTAAAGCTTCAGAAATGCTTTGTTTCTGGTCCTCTCAATTACGTGCTTCAAGACATAAAAGAACACCATGAGATTTTTTTAAAATCATACATTTGCCTGTTAATGTCATACATATATCTATCATCTATTTATGCTAATCAGTCCCTGATTTATACTACTAGGAGATGCTTATTAAAACAATCTTAAATTCTAGTGGGCAGAAGTATCAACTGGGGATATAGTTAGAAATATAATTACCAGAGATTCCAACTACTGAATGGGGTCCATGAACTCGGATTTTAATAGCCACCTGAGGCAATTCTGATGGAGTAGTCCACAGATCCACTTTGAAGACACTATCTGCCTATTACCATAAGAGGAACCAGCCTTACTCCTAAGAAGTAAATTCTTATCTCACTGGCTATTGTAAGTCAATGACATTATCAAACAATATAGAGAATATCCGAACCCATGCACTCAATCAACAAGTTAGTATTATTTGAACATTTATTGCTGTATAAATTAGAAGCAGCATCTAGATCATAAATGAATCGCAGACTGCTCAACATCTGAAGATCTTTATTTAGCCTAAATGCAAAAACACCACTGACATGTGCAGTCCCATGCAGAGAAAGTGCTTTTCAATGTTCCTTGATGAAGAAGCATTTTAGCGGAATGTTAAATGCATCCTTTTAAAGGACCAAGTCCAAGCCAAGATTTAGCATTTAGCATTATATTAGAAAACTGACCCAAAACTAAAGTCTTCACATTAATAATTCCAAAGTTATCAATTTCCAAGATTTACCATTTCTGGCCTGAAAACTACCATGTCCATTTCCAGCCTGAAAAGATTCTTTTGTTCGGTCTGAAATACCTGAAAATAGCAGGATACATAATGAGAAACTAGAAAAACAAAGAAGTACCTTGCTAACTCTTGAACGTTGAATTTCCAGCGAGTGTCAGGTTCTCGGAATATAACTTCATAGTTATTTTCAAGTGCCTGATTTTTCAAAAGTACATAAAACATTGAAGACATAGTATGTATGTTTGGGAATGTTTATGCTGCCATTTAACATTTACTACAGATCTTTTCTAGAATTCCTTTTGTTTTACCAGTAATCCAATGCCTTAATTTATCATAATAAATGCAGTTGTTTCATTCCCATACTTAGCCACTCTCATAATTCTCCATGATAAATTTTGCTCAATTTTATCTAGTATGTAGGAAATTTGTAAAGGTTCTTTGTTTTGGATATCTTTAAAAATAGATGACTGAGCTAGTTTAAAACATCCTGAACACCGGTATGAGCAGTGAACTCAGTGACTTCTCAAAGTCACTTACAGGATTTTTGTAGATTTACTTGTCAGATGCCTTGTCCTATCCCTCATGCCTTCCTTTAGAAAGTGGGAGTACCATAGGAACATAACTGGTGAAATAAAAGTGATAGTCACTTACTTTGTATCAACTTCCCTCCAAAAGTAGCTCTCCCCATTATGCAATACGATTTGGGTCAATGCACCGGGCCCCGTTTCCTTGAGTTCAGAGAACTATTATAATTTCCTTATAAACATCCAGATATTGTTTGCATTCATAAATTGACTACTACCTTATCTCAAACTGAATTTTCTATTATCACTATAATTTATTGTGTTTATAAAACATAGAGTGGAAAGAGCTAAGCAAAAAGGTTTCCTTTTCACTCTTTACATGGGCACTTCTCAGTTGGGAAGTTTTTAAATAACACAACCGGAAACCTCTCATTTTTAAGTCTAATGAATAGCTGAGGATGCCTGAAAAAGAGTATACATATCCAGAAGATAAAAAGTAAACTGAGGCCGGGCACGGTGGCTCACACCTGTAACCCCAGCACTTTGGGAGGCCGAGGCGGGTGAATCACTTTAGCTCAGGAGTTCGAGACCAGCCTGGCCACCATGGCAAATCCCCGTATCTACTAAAAATACAAATACTAGCCGGGCGTGGTGGCACGCGCCTGTAATCCCAGCTGCTGGGGTGGCTGACACATGAGAATTGCTTAAATCTGGGAGGCAGAGGCTTCAGTGAGCTGAGATCATGCCACTGCACTCCAGCATGGGAGACAGAGTGAGACTCTGTCTCAAAACAAAACAAAAAAGTAAAATGACTTCCCTTAGGCTACTGGTCAGTTAGTCCTTAAGTCTTGGTTTTAAGTGATGGCCGTCATTCAATTGACTCTTCACGTGCCTGTTCATTTCTCGCCCAGGTAGACTCGACATGAACTGAAGTAACCACAAGTGTGCGGCTCATTCTTCTTTACATTCACCGAAGCCCCACAATCTGGGCATAAGTGGAACTGATGATGATCGTTAGAGAAAAGCACACCTGTAGGTATGCCAGTTAGCCCCAAATGTAAAAAGAAGCCTAACATCGTGAGCCCAGTCTGGACCTATTCACTTCACAATTAACCAGGTAGGGATTCTGCGTGATGCAAGGAGGATACTCCACTGTGCTTCCTGCCCCATTTGTATGGTTCTGGATCCTTCCTCCTTTCTAGACCCAATAGGGAATGAAAACATTATCAAAAGAGATGGAATATGTATGAAAAAAGACCAAATAGACTTCACAATTAAAGGATAATGTGCACACTGTTACAGGCATCATGCTGTTCTTTGCTATTCTGACAATGGAGAGCTGAGTTTTATATTTGCATTCTGTCATCTCAATAAGATTACAGTGTTAATCCTAATTCTGTTTTTATTTTTTAATTTTTAATTTTTTTTTTTTGAGATGGAGTTTCACTCTTGTTGCCCAGGCTGGAGTGCAGTGGCGCGATCTCAGGTCACTGCAACTTCTGCCTACGAGGTTCAAGCGATTCTCCTGCCTCAGCCTCCCAAGTAACTGGGATTACAGGCGCCCGTCACCACGCCCGGCTATTTTTTTTTTATTTTTAGTAGAGATGGGGTTTCACCTTGTTGGCCAGGCTGGTCTTGAACTCCTGGACTCAAGTGATCCGCCTGTCTCGGCCCCCCAGAGTGCTGGGATTACAGGCGTGAGCCACCACGCCCGGCCCTAATCTGTTTTTAAACTAAAATATTCTGTTGCCCTGGAACTCCCAGGCAGCAACAGTACACGGTGTGGAAATCCCCGGCTCACCAGAGGCAGAATGGTCCTGTTGTGACCTGTAACTCCACTAGGAGCGTCATCTAGTTGAGTATTGCTCTGCACATTTCAGTGGGTGCTCCTCTGTATGCCTCGCCTTAGGAAAGTAATTAAGACAGAAAAGTTATCAAGAATTCACACCAAGGACCATTTGCCAAGGACTATTTTTAAATTGTATCCTGAAGTGAGATTAGCATCTCAGCAAACTTCAGCCATTGAACAGCAGAGAAACACTAACATAAAACCTCGTTACCTGCTCCCTGAGAGAACTACTGTTAGCAAATATGAAATCATGGAACATCAGAAAAAGAGGAAAGAACAGATGCTTCAACTTTCTCACAAAATGTCCATAACTGAAAATTCAGAATGATACTTCTTCCTACCATGACTGCATAGGGCTTCATTTCCCAGGCGTGGAGGTTGGTATTATCAATAATAATGGGGGATATGCCATTCCTCATTGCTTTTCTTGCTGCAACACAATGTTACATAACAGTGAACAACATGCAACAATCAGAGGGAAGGGTGAGCGTAATCTCTATTGGTCATTTTTATTACAGGATGCCCTCATCTCCTCATCACACAACTTCAGTGCCACCTATTTCAGAGCCCACTATCAATAATTTTCTTTCTCTGGAATCTAAGGAGGTTACGCTCTGGTGTTCTTGTTTTGGGGAAGAAAACGGCAGAACTTTCGGTTAAACTCCTTCCATTAAATTTATTCATTCTGCAGCAGCTACAATCTATGTGCACATCAGGGTTTCCTAGGAGTTTGGAAAGGAATTTGTCACCTCTTTTTTGGTTCCATTCATGAGCTTCCTCCAGGAAGTCAGGATTGAACTCATAGGCACCATCTTCCCTGAAGAAAAAATCATCCGTGCTGAAAATCAGGGCCCTGGGAAAGTCATGCTGCAATTGTCTGGAAAGTGGAGAAATTAGAGAGATGTTTTCAATATTATGTATAGTCTCAGTAGAAATAATTTCCTTCCATCTCTAACATTTAGCGGTTGTAATATTGAGACCACCAGGTTTGGAGTTGTTAAAATGCAGCTTTAAAAGAGAGATGTTTATGATGTCTAGAAGGCATTACTCCTTAGCAGGAGGTGGGAGAGGGCTGAGAGGTGGCAGTGTGTGCTGCTGGTCCTTGAAACTAAGAGGTACAGTCACTGCCGCTGCCTTCTGCAGCAGCAAGGACTGACTCAAGAAGAAACTGAAGCTAAGCTGGGGGCCTGGTGACTGTCTTTCCTCCTGAGCACCAATCCCAGTGCCCATTTCTCTCCGAGGCACCAGTGCCCCTGCCCAAGACCTGCCCATGGATGCCAGACCCCCATGTTGCAGCCCTTCCCTCGGCCCCCTAAACTCTGAGCTGGCCCATTTCCTTGGAGCTCTGTTCTCTGTAAGGACCCATCTGAGAAGCTAGTTCTAGTATGAAACGTGGGTAAGTGATGCATGTGCTCTACTAAATGGGAGAAAAGCAAAACGGGAGAAGGAAAGCGACAGAGCCACTGTCCCCTACCTTCCTACCCTCCACCACTCTGAGCGTAAGTAGGAAATAGCACAGCAAAAAGAAACACCACCATGGAGCTCCCCTTTAAAGCAAAACCAAAACAAAATGAAGATGCTTATTCAGTGCTGCACAAAAGAACTTCAAAGAGAAGATGTTTCCACTTGAAATCCTTGCTCGTACTATCTTTTGGCAGAAGGTGGATGTCATGCTCTGGAGGAACTGGAGACGTCTCTGAGCTTCATTTCCTCATCTGTAAAAACTGAGGACAAACAAACCCAGCCAACAAACAGAAAATATGGTCACGTGGCCATGCTCAGAATAAGAAGATTTTTAAAAATCGGAGGAAAAAACGTTGGAGAATGACAAGGGCAGGAAATGCAAAGAGAAAGCAAAGCTATTCAATGTCTTTTTTGTTGTTGGTCTTCTCCATGGAGCAGAATGATCTTTAATCCAGGAAGAATGGAACAAACATGAGGCCTTGGAGCCACAGATGAGTAAGCACTTCAGGTGCCCTGACAGGCTTGGGAGCTTCTTTCTCAACTGTAAAACACAGATAATTATCCCTACCTATTAAACAGAGCTTCTAATCAGGCTGAAATGAGGCCGGTATGAGAAAACATTTTGTACCCAGTAAGGCACTTTACAGAAGTAAAGTGGTGTTATAATAACCATGAGGCCACATTGACCAACCCAGACTGTTTATCTGCCACGGTAATAAACACATCAGAGAGCGCGTGTCAAGTAGCCCTTGAGGTACTGCGGTGAATTAAGAGAGAGATGAAAGACAGAAGTAAAATGCTTCCATTTTCAAAAATGAGTGAATATACATTCCAGAAATGGTAACTAAATAGCTGTCAAAATTCTTCAGAAGCTTGATAGCATTTAAAAAGACGGCAGCGCAGATCGCTGAAAAAGTAATTCCAAACCAAATGCATTTTCTTTTTTAATGAACTAAACAGTGGCAAACAAGGAAATTCAGTGGACATACTATCTCTGTTTAAACAGGAATCTGACAGTCTCCCTTGATAGCCTTGTGGGGGAAATGCGGCCAGTAGATAATATACTTTAATACTAAAAGAATATTAGTTAATTATCCAACTCATTAAACATTTATTGAGCACCTGACATGTGCCAAGTGCCAGGTGAAGCGTTAAGGTACAGAAAGTAGCTGCTTTCAAGGAATTCATGGCCCAGCCAAAGGAGTCAGCCAGCGCAGCGCACAAAGGAAAAAGCTGGCCCAGCAAAGCGCTGAGAGAAAGGGTCCGGAGCCGGGGAAAGGGATGCAAAGGAGTGATGCAAGTTTGACTTAGTCCCTGAGGGATGAGAAAACTGTTGCCTCTTGGGGGAGGGGCTGAGACACGGGCAGGAAAGAGAGGAGGAAGCGAGTGCCCTAGGGCTTGTTAGGGGAGAAGAGGCTGTAGGGAAAAGCAGAAAGACTCTAAGGGTTAGAAGAAGCAAATCATCTTTGAAACACTGTTTTCAATTCCGACTGCCACACAATTTAAAGAGAAATTTGGCCACCTTGAAGGTGTCCAGAGAAGAGTGACCAGGTACATACAAGGTCCAGAAACCATGTCGGAGGAACAGAGATCATCGAAGACAGGCGGAGTGTTTCAGGCAGAACAGATAATAAAAGGGATAAGGTGATAGTTCTCAGACCCTGGGAAGCCTGTTGTGTGGATGCGGGAATGAACTTCTTCTGTGTTGGCAGTTTGGGCTGGGCTCAGGTGGGCCGATCTGCAGGCCTTGCCTGGGGTCCCTGTGGCAGCTGCGTCACCTGACAACGTGGGGCTGGGCAGAGTGCCCTAAACAGGGTCCTTCACACGTGTGGTGGTGCTGGCTGTCACTCCGCAGGGCCTGTCATCCTGAAAGAGCCGCACCCAGGCCTCTTCACAGACCGCGGTATTTCAAGAGAGCACGACAAGAAGCTGCTTGCCAGTGCTCCCGCACCTTGTGTTGGTCAAAGCGAGTCACTTTGCTGGCCCACATTGCAGGGCGAGGAAAGCAGACTTCTTGATGGAAGGAAGAGCAAAGAAAACGTGGCCACTTTAAATCTAGTACAGATAAAGCCAGTGACACGAAGGGAGGGGTAAGTATAAAGACTTGAGCAACCCATGCTCATAGTTTCCATATGAATGTCTGTTATTCCACTTTAAAGATAGGCAAATCGAAAAGTCCAAACCTTAACCTCCGATGCAAACAATTATAGACAGGAAAAACACCTAAGGGTAGCACTGATGCATTTTCAGGTATGTGTATTTTATATTTGTGAACACTGTACAGTTTTAAAATGATTTTCATCATTATTATTTAAATAATGAAAGTTGTGTTCAGAGATTAAGTAATAGTGTATAATGTGTTTCCTTTATCCTCTGTATACTCAGTTAAGCAGCCACGGTAACTGAATCCAAGATTTTTTTCTCTTTCTGGTCCCAGATTTGATATCCCTTCTACACCTGGTTTCATTTGTTCTCCTATTAAGTCTGCTACTTACCAGTTTTGTTTTGTTGTTTGAACATTTTCAGATTTGAATTTTTCTTTTCATATACATACCCTTATCTGCTCTTGTTTTCCTCTTTGTGGTTTGTATTATTGATTGGAAGTTAATACTTTATAATATTTCCTTTAAAAAGACTTTAAGGCATGAGTATCCAATTCACTGTTTGTTTCATGTTTGTTTTATTTGAATCCTATTTCCTTCTAGAAAACAAAAACAGCACATAACACTACTGCCCTTTTAATTACAAAATTTTACCTTAGAGTAAAAGCTAAATGGTTCAGGATCACTATGGGGCAAGAACACCATGTCATCATTTCCTGAGACATATCTGACAGTGGCCTCCATACTCTTCCTAACAAACAGGCAGACAAAAATAAGGGTGTTTTTCCACCTTTAAGGCGCTCATGGATTTTTTTTTTTTTTTTGGCCTGTATGATCTTCCTGAATGACTTCAAAACTCGTTTTATCTTCACCTAAATGTTAAATTAGCACTAGCAGCCATAGTAGTATGTTGAATAGGCAGGACAATAAAAACTCTACTAGCTAAATAAAGAACTGATTAAATAGACAATCTTGAGATTCTGAAACTTAAGTGGAAGCAATAAATACCATTCCATCAGCTTCAGAAGTGATGAGGGTTAAGCCCCAGTTCTATCTTTATGGTGGTCAGGAGCCTCATGCGTTAGGGAAATTGAGAGAATGAAAATAAAAGGGAAAAAATAGAAAGGCAATTAATTCCATATAACCTCCACCTGCTACAAACTCCCCTGAAATTCATTTAAAATCACTATTATGAGAGAAACTCAGGGACTAATCTTGATTTCACAACTTATTCTTTTGTGTAATTCTTTATTTAAATAATGGAGAATCATAGAGCTATATTTAGATATTTCTTCAGCCAGTCACTCACTCACTGAGAAAGTCAGACATTGCATGTAATTTTAACTTGATGCCCAGCTTTTTACTAGGGAAATTTTCAAGCTTGCAAAAGTTAGATGGCATAATATACTCAATCCTCATATACACATGACCAGTTAGCATCATATGGCCAGTCTTCTCTCATGTCTTTCCTATTTCATTCCATCAGTCACTCCACCAGTGTTCAGTCTCCCTGCTTGTCCCATCAATGTTTTCCTCCAGTTGGTTTGTGTGCATCAGGGACCAAACAAGATCCACACATTGTATTTGGTTGCCATGTCCCTTAAGTCTCATTTATCCTATAGTTTACCCTCTCCTCTTGATTTCCACCTGAATTTCTCCCACCACAACCTTTTAATTAGAAAATATAAAAATCTATGGAAATGAGTTGAAAAACAGTATACTGAACACTGCGTACCCTTCATCTATGGTCACCAGATGTTCACATTTTGCCTTATTTTTTGTCTCTCCTATATATATTTTTGGAGAACCATATGAAAGTAAATTGCAGGCCGGGCGCGGTGGCTCACGCTTGTAATCCCAGCACTTTGGGAGGCCAAGGCGGACGGATCACTTAAGGTCAGGAGTTTGAGACCAGCCTGGCCAACATGGCAAAATCCCGTCCCTACTAAAAATACAAACATTAGCCAGGCTGGTGGCACACACCTTTAATTCCAGCTACTCGGGAGGCTGAGGCATGAGAATCACTTGAATCTGGGAGGCAGAAATTGCAGTGAGCCAAGACCGTGCCACTACATTCCAGCTCCAGCCTGGGTGACAGAGCAAAACTCTGTCTCAACTGTCTCAAAAAAAAAAAAGACGGTAAACTCCATACATCGTGATACTTTATTCCTAAATTCTTTGTCAAGTATCTCTTAAGAATAAGAACAATTCCTTGCATAACCATAATATCATTATTGCATCTAACAAATTAAGGCAGAGTGCCCTAAGCAGGGTCCTTCACACGTCTGGTGGTGCAGGTTCTCACTCCGCAGGGCCTGTCATCCTGAAAGAGCCTGAAAGAGTGATTAATTCATAAGAGCTAATGTTAGGTGTTTATTTTATTTTATTTTTATGTATTTATGTATTTATTTAGAGATGGAGTCCCACTCTGTTGCCCAGGCTGGAGTGCAGTGGCACGATCTCGGCTTACTGCAACCTCCACCTCCTGGGTTCAAGCAATTCTCTTGCCTCAGCCTCCCAAGAAGGTGGAATTATAGGCACACACCACCATGCCCGGCTAATTTTTTTGTATTTTTAGTAGAGACGGGGTTTTGCCATATTGGTCAGGCTGGTCTCCAACTCCTGACCTCAGGTGATCCACCTGCCTTGGCCTCCCCAAGTGCTGGGATTACAGGCGTGAGCCACACTCCTGGCCTAATGTAAGGTTTTTAAATTTAAATTTTTAAAATTTCCCCAATGGTCTAAAGAATATTTTTCATAAGTTTCAAGTACTGCATTTGGTTATTATGTCCAGTTAATATCTTTGAATCTAGAACTGTCCTCATGCTCTTTTCGTTTCTCTAGTTGGCATGAGAATGTTCTGCATTCTGGGTTTGTGTGGTTGTTTCGTAGTGATTAAACCCAGATTAAATGTTTTTTAGAAGCAAAGTACAAAGGTGATGTTTGTGTACTTCTGATTGCACAAAATGACAGTCTGTCCCTCCAGGCTAAGTTCAATGCTAAGTTCCATCATTTGGCTAAAGGGTGGTGTTAGCCAGACCTCTTCACTGGAAAGGTACCTCACTTCCTTTGTAATATTAACTAATACAAAACTGTGTATTTTTTTGGGACAAAACTGTGAGCCCATGTACCGATCCAATTCTCTGTTTCCCTCAGGAATCCTTACATCTATTTCTCTGATCATAAAACAAAAAAAAGTGCAAAAAAGGAGGGAGGTTCCTCTATTCTCCTATCTACAAATAATTATTAACATTTTTGTCTTCTTTCCAGGACTGGAAATATATATATAAAATTTCTTTTTTTATTTTATCTCTTGTTATATGAAGAGGAACATCATGTAGAGTAGACCAAGTTTCACCAAGCTCTTTCTTTCTTTTTTTTTTTTTTTTTTTTTTTGAAGACAGAGTCTTGCTCTGTCACCCAGGCTGGAGTGCAGTGGTACGATCTCAGCTCACTGCAGCCTCCGCCTCCCGGGTTCAAGCGATTCTCCTGCCTCAGCCTCCTGAGTAGTTGGGATTACAGGCATGTGCCACCATGCCTAGCTAATTTTTGTATTTTTAGTAGTGATGAGGTTTCACCATGTTGGCCAGGCTGGTCTCGAACTCCTGACCTCGGGTGATCCACCCTCCTAGGCCTCCCAAAGTGTTGGGATTACAGGCGTGAACCACTGTGCCTGGGCTAACCAAGCTTTTTTCCATAGCAAATTATTTCCCACCTTATAAAATATTCTTCTATGACATGATTTTTAATGATACGGCATACTTATTCCTACGGATGTGCCATAATGTAATGCCTAACCAGTAACTTAATGCTTAACCAGTGGTCTATGGTTACTTACTTAGTTTGTCCCTACTTCTTTAATTATCAGCAAGATTAGCTTGTGTGTGTATTGATCATTTAGAGATATTCTTTTGTGAACTGCACTGTCACATCCTTTGGTAAATAAAGCCTCCTTATTAGGAGGTTTATCTTTCTTATTGAATATCAATTTTTTATTATGTACAGCAATTGCTTTTTAATTTTGTTTATAATAATCTCTAAAAGTCTAAATTTTAGTTGGGTTCAGTGGCTTTCTTTTCTTTTCTTCTTTGATTCCTCTCATGATTGGCTAAGATTGGTTGTTCCAATAAATTCTATTATTTTTTTTAAAAGAGTACTAAGCAGTGAACAAAGAGCTTCGCATATATTCTCTCTTTAACCTTTATAATCTAATTTTATGAAGTAAATCATTTTACTTTTACTTGGTTTACAAATAAAGAAACCAGGGCTTCAAGAGCTTAAAAACTGGCTTGGGTTTCTACCATTTGCATGTGGGGCTACCAGAACCTTACCTCAGGTCTACTCAGTCAGGGCACATGGGTGTTACAGACTTTGTGAGCTCTTGGGGGTCTGAGAAAGTCTTTGTATGAAAGACAACAGACTAGATGAGAATTACTGAACTACAATCTTTTTCCCACAGGCATTAATATTTTAAATGTAGGTTCCAGTTCAACGTGGGTTCACATGCATTGAACAGAAACCCCAGTTAATGGATTTCTAACAGTGGTGGCTTCAATAAAATTAAAATGTCTATATCTTGCATGTAAAAATCCAGAGGTAGAATCCAGAGCTGGTATCACAAATCCATGATCAACATGGACCCAGGAGTCTAGCATTTTTTTTTAGCATGAGGCTTCCATTCTTCAGAGGGCCTCCTAGTGGCCACAGCAGGGCCAGGCTGCACCTCCATGTTCCACACAGCCGAAGAGGCAAGGGGGCCTTGAAAACTAGTTTTAGAGTTGGGCACACTGCCACACCCAACAAAGTGTGCTTGCTAAAGAAGAAAGGGAAGTTAACTAACAGCTTTTGCAACAGTCTTTCCAGGATATATCTAGATATTGAATTGTTTTTTAATCACTTCTGAGTCTTCAAGTCAAATATGTTCTATGATATCTTTATTTGTTGCTTTGGTTGTATTTACTCTGGTGATTTTTGGCCATATTTATTTTCACATTTGTCTTCTACATTATTGTTTGATTTTCTGCATTGTGACTCTGCTTATCTCTAATATACTTCAAACTTCCAACAGTTACTTTAGATTCTTTTATATATCATTTAACTCCTTTTTAATTTTCTGCTTCTTAATCAACTTCCTTCATATTTCAGACTCCTAATCAGGAGTTTTTCTTTAATCTTTTATATCATAGAGAGGAATTTTTTAGAAAAAATGTAAATATAGAGAAAGACAAAAGAAATAATAAAACACCTGCATACCTACCACCTAGAGCTCATAATCATGAACATTTTCTCATACTTGTTTTGTTGGCTTAAAATTCAACCAACCCCCCACCTTAACTCTGGCACTCCCAGACACCTTTACCACGCTTCTCTCTCCCTTTTTCAACAGCACTTATCACAACCTACATTAACATACGGTTTCCTTAGAGGTTACATCCATTTCCCTACCTCTGGCACATAAGGTCCACAAGGGCAGGATCTTTGTTTTGTTCACTGATGATTCCCAAGTACCTAGAACACTGTGTGGAACATATAAACACTCAATAAATATTTGGTGAATTAAAAAATGAAGGAGCATTACATTTTTTAGATCTATTCATGTTGATATATAGACTTAGTCCATTTTCTTTAACTGCTACATAGTACTCCATTATCAGCAAAATAATAAATATAGCCAGTGTTTATTAAGTGCTTATTGTGTGCTAACCACTATTCTAGAGGCTTTACATTTTTTACATAATGCTCAAATAGACCTGGGATATAAGTACTGTTATTAATCCCCAACCCCCGTGTTACAGACAAAGAAATTAAGGCCAACGAGTGGTACAGCTGGATTAAAACCTAGGAGTCTGGCCCCAGAGGTGCACACTAAACTGCTGTGCTTGAGCGCTGTAAAATAACCACATTTATTTATGTATTTTCTCTAGTGATACTTTTTTGCAATTTTCCAATTTCAGTGAACTTCCTTATGCCTACCTGTTGTGCGTATGTGGACGTTTATTGGGGATATATAGCTCCAGTGGCATACCTATGAAATCCTTTGCTTATTTTTTGAGAGAACAGAGCAGAGCAGATGCTAAAATTGCCTTTTTTCCTTGAGAATTTTTTTCTCTCTGATAGAATACATGTTCCATGAAGACAGGAATTTTTGTCTTCTTTGTCCACTGCTCCATTCTGACCATCTAGAAGAATGCCAGGCACATGGGAGGTGCTCAATAAATATCTGTGAGTATATTAATGGCTCTTGGCTACAATGCTCTTTTGGCCTAATTATGCAAACTCTTTTTATTCACCCCCACCCCCACCAAGACGGAGTCTTGCTCTGTCGCCCACAGCTGAAGTGCAATGGTGTGATCTCAGCTCACTGCAACTCTGTCTCCTGGGTTCAAGCAATTCTCCTGACTCAGCCACCTAGTAGCTGGGATTACAGGCATGCGCCACCACGCCTGGCTAATTTTTGTATTTTTAGTAGAGATGAGGTTTCGCCATCTTGGCCAGGCTGGTCTCATACTCATGACCTCATGATCCACCCATCTCGGCCTCCCAAAGTGCTGGGATTACAGGCGTGAGCCACCACGCCCAGCTGGCAAACTTTTTTGTAAGGCCCCAAGCTGTGTGAGAATTTCTATTTACTCATTTTTGTACAATGAGAATTTTATCCAAACCTTAGATTCAGTTCACCCCTGATATGCTTTGGCTGTGTCCCCACTCAAATCACATCTTTAATTGTAGTTCCCATAATCCCCATGTGTCATGGGAGGGACCTGGTGGGAGGGAATTGAGTCATGGAGGCGGTTACCCTCATGCTGTTCTCGTGATAGTGAGTTCTCACAAGATCTGATGGTTTTATAAGGGGCTTTTTCCCCTTTTGCTCAGCACTTCTCCTGCTTCCACCGTGTGAGGACATGTTTGCTTCCCCTTCCACTATGACTGTAAGTTTCCTGAGGCCTCCCCAGCCATGCTGAACTGTGAGTTAATTAAACCTCTCTCCTTTATAAATTACCTAGTTTCGGGTATGTCTTTATTAGCAGTGTGAGAACAGCAAACTGGTACCAGAGAGTGGGGCGCTGCTGTGAAGATACCCGAAAATGTGAAAGCAACTTCGGAACTGGGTAACAGGCAGAGACTGGAACTAATAGAAGGGCTCAGAAGACAGGAAAACGTGGCTAAGTTTGGAACTTCCTAGAGACTTGTTGAATGGCTTTGACCAAAATGCTGATAGTGCTATGGACAATGAAGTCCAGGCTGACGTGGTCTCGGAGATGAGGAACTTATTGGGAACTAGAGTAAAGGTCACTCTTGCTATGCAAAGAGACTGGTGGCATTTTGCCTCTGCCCTAGAGATCTGTGGAACTTTGAACTTGAGAGAGACAATTTAGGGTATCTGGTTGACAATTTAGGGTATCTGGTTGAAGAAATTTCTAAGCAGCAAAGCATTCAAGAGGAAGCAGAGCATAAAAGTTTGGAAAATTTGCAGCCTGATGATGTGATAGAAAAGAAAGCCCCTTTTCAGGTGAGAAATTCAAGCCAGCTGCAGAAATTTGCATAAGTAACGAGGAGCCAAATGTTAATCACCAAGACAATGGAGAAAATGTCTCCAGGGCATGGCAGAGGACTTCATGGCAACCTCTCCCATCACAGGCCTGGAGACCCAAGAGGGAAAAATGGTTTCATGGGATGGGTCCTGGGCCCCCTAGCTGTGTGCAGCCTTGGAACTTTGTGCCCTGCTTCCCAGCAGCTCTGGCTGGCCATGGCTAAAAGCAGTCAATGTACAGCTCAGACCATTGCTTCAGGGGGTGCAAGCCCCAGGCCTTGGCAGCTGCTACATGGTGTTGGGCCTGCAGGTGCACAGAAGTCAGTAACTGAAGTTTGGGAATCTCCACCTAGATTTCAGAAGATGAATGGAAATGCCTGGATTTCCAGGCAGAGGTGTACTGCAGGGGTGAAGCCCTCATGGGGAATCTCTGCTAGTGCAGTGCAGAAGGGAAATGTGGAGTCTAAAGCCCCCACACAGAGTCCCCACTGGGGCACTGCCGAGTGGAGCTGTGAGAAGAGGGCCACTGCCCACCAGACCCCAGAATGGTAGATCCACCGACAGCTTGCACCTTGTGCCTGGAAAAGTCACAGACACTCAACGCCAGCTTGTGAAAGCAGCCAGGAGTGGAGCTGTACCTTGCAAAGCCACAGGGGTGGAGCTGCCCAAGGCCATGGGAACCCACCTCTTGCATCAGCATGACCTGGATATGAGACATGGAATCAAAGGAGATCATTTTGGAGCTTTAAGATTTGGCTACCCTGCTGGATTTTGGGTTTGCATGGGGCCTATAGCCTCTTTGTTTTGGCCGATTTCTTCCATTTGGAATAGGTGTATTCACCCAATGCCTGTACCCCCATTGTATCTAGGAAGTAACCAACTTGCTTTTAACTTTACAGGTTCATAAGCGGAAGGGACTTGCCTTGTCTCAGATGAGACTTTGGACTTGGACTTTTGAGTTAATGCTGGAATGAATTAAGACTTTGGGGGACACTGTTAGGAAGACATGATTGTGTTTTGAAATGTGAGGACATGAGATTTTGGAGGAGCCAGGGGCAGTCCCCACCCAAATCTCATCTTGAATTATAGTACCCATAATCCCCATGTGTCATGGGAAGGACCCAATGGGAGATAATTGAATTATGGGAGCAGTTACCCTCATGCTGTTCTCATGATAGTGAGTTCTCACAAGATCTGATTTTTTTTTTTTTTTTTTTTTAGATGAAGTCTTGCTCTATTGCCCAGGCTGGAGTGCAGTGGCACAATCTCAGGTCACTGCAATCTCCATCTCCCGGGTTCACGTGATTCTCCTGCCTCGGCCTCTTGAGTAGCTGGAATTACAGGTGCTCGCCACCACGCTTGGCTAATTTTTTTTTTTTTTTTTTTTTTTTTTTTTACAGATGGGGTTTCACCATGTTGGCTAGGCTGGTCTTGAACTCCTGACCTCAGGTGATCTGCCCGCCTCGGCCTCCGAAAGTGCTGGGATTATAGGCATGAGCCACTGCACCTGGCTGATCTGATGGTTTTATAAGAGGCTTTGCTCAGCACTTCTCCTTCCTGCCGCCATGTGAAGAAGGACATGTTTGCTTCCCCTTCCACCACGATTGTAAATTTCCTGAGGCCTCCCCAGCCATGCTGAACTGTGAGTCAATTCAACCTCTTTCCTTTATAAATTACTCAGTTTTGGGTATGTCTTTATTAGTAGAATGAGAACAGACTAATACAGCCCTTAAAGGAGACTGACGGAGAGGATTCTTCTTGGATCCCAGCACCTCTGAATGCTACTGACATTCTCCTTGAAGACTTTAAACTGGGACATAGAAAACAGATTGCATGGCTCAGCAGCCTGAGAGCAGGGCAGGAGCCAAGCTATAGATGACATGGGCAGTCTCCCCTGAGGCCAGGTGTGGCCGGACCTGGGCAGTGCTGCCACCCACTCCACCAGGGCCAGGTCCTGTCCTTGGAGAGTCGGGCCTCAAGTGTCCCCAAGCCACAGTGATGGAGACAGAGGACTTCATGGCTAGGGGGACTCAGGGAACAGTTCCCAGTCTGCCCTACTTCTCTTACCTTTACCCCTCATACATCCAAAGTAGACCATGTTTGTGAGATCCAAAGCCAGATTCCCAAGGAGCCCTCATTCTCATTTGTCAGTGTGGTCCCACAAACTCTACTGAGCAGAAATTCCTTTCAGTATCTTGCATGTGAACAGCCCCTTTTGTAGACTCTTACAGCTGTGCAGGTTTCACCTATGTTTGTGTTCTGTTGGTTCAGTCACAAGCAGAATTGGGGAAGGAATCAGGCACACCTACCTCAGTACTAATTTTTTTTGGCTGTCTTTTCCCAAAATGTCATAGATCAGTTACAGATAACAGAAGAGTAACTGTACAGGAAAACTGTCACTTTGGGCTGTCTGTGCTGCTTAAATGGGAAGACAGCTGAATCTTTGATCCCAATTTTTAAATTTCTTCTTACTGTAACTATGAGGTAAAGGAGCCGGCACATCAAACATTTTCACCTGCAACAAATAGGAATCTTTTTTTTTTTTTTTTTTTTTTTTTGAGGCGGGGAGTCTCGCTCTGTTGCCCAGTCTGGAGTGCAGTGGCTGGATCTCAGCTGACTGCAAGCTCCGCCTCCTGGGGTCACGCCATTCTCCTGCCTCAGCCTCCCAAGTAGCTAGGACTACAGGCACCCGCCACCTAGCCTGGCTAATTTTTTTTGTATTTTAAGTAGAGACAGGGTTTCACCGTGTTCGCCAGGATGGTCTCAATCTCCTGACCTTGTGATCCGCCCGCCTCGGCCTCCCAAAGTGCTGGGATTACAGGCGTGAGCCACCGCGCCCGGCCAGGAATCATTTTCTTATGCACCAAATTGAGAACTTTGGAATGAGTGGCTCTATTCTTTCTTTTTTTTCCCCCCCTCGTCTGTTCTCCACATCCCATTCATTCTATTTACTTTATTTTGTTGAGATGGAGTTTCGCTCTTGTTGCCCAGGCTGGAGTGCAATGTCACAGCCTGGGCTTACTGCAACCTCCGCCTCCCAGGTTCAAGTGATTCTCCTGCCTCAGCCTCCCAAGTAGCTGGGATTACAGGCACCTGCCACCATGCCAAGCTAATTTTTTGTGTTTTTAGTAGAGATAGGGTTTCACCATGTTGGCCATGCTGGTCTCAAACTCCTGACCTCAGGTGATTCCACCTGCCTCAGCCTCCCAAAGTGCTGGGATTACAGGCATGAGCCCCTGTGCCCAGCCTCATTCTTTTACATTTCTCTTTATGTGAATAATCTGCTCTTTGGTTTCGTTCTTTACTCAAGAGCCATGCTGACATCCAAGCTTCCATATCTTAGGAAGCATCTCACATTGCGTTTCATTAACAAATCCATTCATCAAATGTTGAGTAAAGGCCTGTGATGTGCCTGGCCTTTTAGGAGCTGGACAGAATAAAGTTCCTGATCTCATGGAACCTACATCATATCTCATGAAGCTTATGTTCTAGTAAAAGAAATAGATAATAAATAAATATACGTCAGGTGGTACCAATGCCAGGAAGAAAAGAAAGCCAAGGTACAAGGCAACAAATGGTGGCAAGAAAGCCCCTTTCAGGCCCTCTTCTTCAGCATATCCTTAAAACATGGGGAAAGAGTGCTGGACAATCCTGGCTATACAATCATACTTCAGCAGGACTCCCCAATAGTTGTGAAAGGGATGTAGGTATGTTTGTCCATGAACTTCCCTAGTAATATAAGACCACTCTGTGTATTATGAAATCCCCTGGGTCTCTCAAATGTGTGACTCTCAGATCCTAAAACCCTCATCTATAAAATAAAAATGACTACATCCCAAGGCTATGGTGAAGATTCAATAAGCCAGTGTCTAAAAATGGCCAGGCAGACAGTCAGCAGTAACCATGTGCTGGCTTTTCTTTCCCCATTTCTCCCTTCCCCTTTCCCGGACTCTTACCTTGATAAAAACAGCCTTCTCCCCAAGCCATACACATGATCTGACAGAGAGCCTTATGAAGGAACAGTTAGAAGGCAGACTCATTTTTCTTTATTATAAAATTTCCTTAATGCCATAGAGCCTCAATATCTTCAGATAACTTGGCATGACTAGAAAATAATTTCTTCTTGGGTTCATCTAGAGTCTGAATGGCCTTAGGCAGGTGCTATTATGTAGAGGAAGGTTCATGAAAATGCCATGAAGGAACTAAGGCATTGACTTATAGATATCCTAACATGTGAGCACATGAGAAAGAGACATGAGACATGTTTGGGAGTTGGAAGTTGACTACCACATCTCTCTCCAACACATCATAACCAGGATAAATATGGAAACTTATTAAAAAATCTAAATCTCATTTCCTCCCATTGCCCTCAATGTTACCATATTAATAACGAAAATGAATTCCCTGGTAATATTTTTTATATTATGAGAAACATTAATATTGACAAGAGCTTCCTTACCCTGACAGTTGAAATCTAGGTTAACTTAGCCCCCTTATAAGGCTCTTAATTGTTTTTTCATTATAAGACAAGTCAAAACCAAACTCATTACGCTTTCACCAGATCACCCCCACTGCGGCCTCTTCTTTTGGTGTACACAAAAAAGCTCTCTGTTAGAAATAGGAGAACACATCCCTTTGACCCTGATCAAGATGTTTAGCTTCTCAGTGTCTTGGGCTCAGACCAGATGAACTCCAAGGGAGTTCCTGTACATCTCCTGAACTTTTCCTATGAAAGTATTCTTCCCCTATTCTTCCTTCCTTCATCTATTTCTACTTCCTCTCGGGTCATAATCCACACCTGCAATATCGGATTGCCCAATTCAGCAGGGTCTTCTTCCATTGTTCCGACAGCTCCAGGAATGTGGTTGTGGTGAATCTCCTGTATAGCTGGGCAGTCTTTCCTCATACAGCCTCTCCAGTGAGTGAGGACAAGCACATACCACACTGCATATTTGCACTCTGTTAAATAGATACAGCTTTTAAGTCCTCATTCATCCCAGCCTCCAGAGAGAGGGTAAGGACAAGGACTCCTGGTAGTGAGGAGAGGAGATTTAGGACCCGCCTTAGGAAAATTGTGAAAAATACAAAAAGCTAGTAGTCATTTTCCAAGTAGACCTAGATGACTAAAGATTTATCACCTGTCTGACCCTCCATTTTTATATTCACAGAGTTGGAATACTGCCAACTTTCTATTTTGATCTTGCTTTTATTAATGAGAGCCCTGGCCTCATAAAGAAACACACCAGAGTCCAGGCCTGCTGGCTAGGAGCACTGTGGAGCAGAGTATTCTTTGGGGACCAACTGTTCACTACTTAGCCAATCTAACTGGCCCCTGTTCTCACTGCTTCTCACATTCCACTGCTTATTTGGTTGTAAAGTACTTTTCTCCCCATCTCTGCCTTGCCATTGCATCACATTAGAAAAGCATCCTTTCACTTCTGTGCAAGGCTCTACAATTAAAAGAAATAATGGAAAGGTACTTCTCATGATGGAAAATTCCATGTTATCCAGAGATATGAATAAGGAGAAAAGACAGCTGTCAGCGAGCATCCTTTGAGCCTAACTGAATCCATGTTACAAACCATTTGTGATGGTGCCAGAAGGAACCAGAACATTGCAAAGGATGCAACATGCACTACAATGTGGGTCCCCTGACTTTGCTTTGATTGAAATGTAAAGACTCAAAAAAATTCTGGAACACTGAAATAAGATTGACAACTTTTAAGTTTTCAAATGAGATCATTAAAAAACAAAGAAAGGCTACCCTCTATTATGGCCATTTCATTTAAAAAGGATGTTTTAGTGGTATGCCCATACAATGTAATATTTTATTGAGATATAAAAATAGTAAAGTTCTAACACATCCTACAACATGGATGAACCTTGAGAACATTAAGCTACATGAAGTTAGCCAGACACAAAAGGACAAATACCATATGATCCACTTACATGACACATGTAAAGGAGGCAAATGCATAGAGACAGGAAGTAGCTGAGAGGTTACCCAGGGTCGGGGGAGTGGGGAATAGGAAGTTACTGCTTAATGGGCACAGAGTGTGTTTGGAGTGGTAAGAAATTTTTGAAATAGATAGTGGTGATGGTTGTATAACATTGTGAGTGAAGTTCCACATAATACAATGCCAGTGGATTGTATACTAAAAATGGTTTAAAATGGTCAAAACTGGAAGGCATTTTCATACACACAGTGGAAAGCACAGAGGTTCACCCATGGATGCTTTCATTGAGGTAGCAGAAAGGACAGGTGCAGTTCCAGGTGAGTCTGTCAGCTGAGCTGTGAAAGAGAGAGTTCTGGCTCATCTGCTGAGAATGAAAGGGTCTTGGCATTAGATCTTATTTCTTCTGACAACAGCTCTCTACTCCTTTGTTCAGCCTTTAATGTTCTCCATGATCTGGTCCTGGGCTTACTTCACCAACGCACTCACTACGATGAAGCCTTCACTTCAATCAAGCTCGGGAGCACACCCAGCTCTCTGCCACCTCCATCTCCTTAGTCGGGCTGTTGTTCCTTTTCCTTGGTTCAGCCGCCTCCTCCCCATCTTCAAGGCCAGCTCAAGAACCGTCTCCATGTGGAGAAGATCCTTTCTCCCTAATTAGCCTTCATCCTCCTCAGCCTTGACCACCAATGGCATTTGAGATGCCACTCCCCACTGGCCCTTACCCACAGCAGTGGGCCGATTACGGCTTTCCATTGGTTAATCCTGGGCAGGCGCCTTCTCATACGGAGCTTCCCTAAACAAGTGCTAAAGGTCTTATAAGTACTCAGTGGATACCCACCTCGGCCTCCCAAAGTGCTGAGATTACAGCCATGAGCCACCACTCCACCCTCCAGTTATTTCTTAGGATTCCTAGAAGTGGAGCTTACAGGTCAATGGTAAGAACCTATTTTTAAGATGCTTTTTAAATGAAATACGGGTGATAAAACAGATTTAGGGTACATGCTAATTTTTTAGTACTTTGATGTGCTCAAAAAAATTTTAACCAGTTAAAACTCCAACTTTTAAAAAATAAATTCAAAGAATTTAAATAGATGTTTTTCCACATTCCATCTACTTCAAACTATGAAAGCATGTAAAAAGCACAGAAATCTAACATTGATTTGGGAGACAAGACATATCCTAATTTCAAACAATTTTTTATTAGTTCTTTAATCAAATGAGAAAAAAAGGTTAAGCAGAAAAAGATGAACCCACATTTGTAGAAAGCGATTTCCTCCAAATTTTAAAGAAAAAAATTTTATTCTAAGAAATACATATTCATTATAGAAAATTTGGAAAATACAGAGAATAGAGAAAACATGAATTTCCCAGAATCCAACAATACACAGATAACCTTACAGTTTTACTATTTTCTATACACGTGTATTTTTAAACAATTTGCTCTTTTCTTCTTCCCCACGCTACCCCCCAAAAAAGTGGGGAAGGCAGCTCCTGGCAGGCCACACCTGAGCCTGCCTCTCCACCATTCCATCCTCGCCACCGGCCTCCCTTCTGCTGAGCTGTGGCCCGTTTCCTCGCTTACGTCCCAGACTTTTCTATAAACACACAATCCACCCCACGGCATGCCAAGGCTGCTCTGCCCCCCGAACTGCCAATGCCCAGCAAAACGGGAAGACTCAAAGTCAACTGCCAAGCTACCTTCTTCACTCCAGAGCCAGGCTCCAGGAAAAACCGAAGATTTATCTCAGCTGACCAACAATGGAAGCAGTAAGTAATACCTCTTAAAATGTATATAGCACTTTAAAGTTTAAAAAGTCCTCCCACACACATTTAATCTTCACAGAACCCTCTGAGGTAAACAGAGCAGATATCCCCATTTAACAGAAAAGGAAACCACGGCATAGAGGGGTTGGGTGAAAAGCAAAACTAGTGAGTGGCTGAGCTTGGATGTGGAGCCATAAACTGACTCCAAGGTCAGAGCTCTTTAACATAGCCATTATTAGCAAACTAATTTTTAATCTGACCACTGGAAATTAAGAGTCAGAAGGATCTGTAATCCTCTAATCTAGTAGCCTCTTAGTAGTCACATATAAGGAACATAAGGCCCGGAAAAACTAGATGATTGACCAAAGTCGCCAGCTAGTAAGTGACGAAGTAGGTCTGAAGGCACAGTCTTCAGACTCCCAGGCCAGTGCTCACTCCGGTCGTCCCTAGAGAGAGAGAGATGGTAATAGGTGGTCTCTAATCGGGTGTCTTCTGCTTAGCCAAATGTCAATCAGGAATTAAAATCCTAAAAGTGTAGAATGTTAGAGCCAGAAAGGACCCTATGGACCACTCAGGCAATGCCCTGGCTTCACAGATGAGGAACGTGAGTCCAAGCCCCGATGTTCCATTCTGTGTATCTTGCACCCATCATGTTACTTCCCTTCCCAACACAGTCAGAAATTAAATCTGGCCAAAGATGTTTACTTCCTTCTTTGACACTCAGTGTCTCTTTGACACTCAGTATGAGACAGGCTACAGATCAGCAAAGCGAAAGTGAAATTAAACAGGATTTGACATTCAGAAGATACTTGGCTGGTAACGGATTTACCCACCATGACTGTATCACAAAATAACCAACCTCTGCTGGGTTCCAAGGAGGCTCCCCGATTCTGCCTCTGTCCTCCACCTCCCCTCCCCAGTGAGCCAGAGAGGGTCTATTGAAATGTGTCTCTGGTTTAGGAAAGGGTGCCCACGGTCCTCCACAAGTCACGTGGCCCTACAATTTGTGAAAATGTAGCAATACTCTGGCCAAAGGCTTCTACTCCGCAAGGCAACCAGGAGCACCTCCCCAGGCTGTCCCTCCTCCTAAGGTCACTATCTCGGCACCATCGAAATCCGCACGTGACTGTCCATCACCTTGATTCTTCGGCAGTTCCTTGGTCCCATGGCTAGCCTTGTCTCTCCAGTGAGACGGGAAGCCCTTTGAGGGAAAGGGACCACTTCCTCTATTGAACAACTACGTGCCAGACAATGTGCTTGGCAGGGTAAGACATGGCTCCTACCTTCAAGAAACTTACAGAAGGATAAGCAAAACCATGTGCAAAAAAGTAAGTGCAGTCACGTAGATGTAAACAGGAAGCCAAGGAGCCCAGAAGAGGGGCATCTACTGGAGGGGTGGGGTAGATGCCCGGTCTTAAAAGCCAAAAGAAGGCGGGAGGGCAAGCCAGGCAGGAAGGCCAGCGTCAAGGAGAGCAGCGGCTTTGTTTACAGGAGATAAAAAACAGTTCGAAGTTGCTGGAACATCAAGCGCAAGGCAGGGAGCGGTGGGAGTTCAGGCTGGAGCGGTGGGGCCTAGCAAGGTGGCCGCAGGCACGAGCCCGCGTAATTCCCAGCAGCTAGGTACAGGGAGGGCCGCTTACGCAATTCGCAAGTGAACGAATTTGGGTGCCCATGGCGAGGCTCTGTCAATGACGGTCGGTGGTGGCGCCGCCAGCCCCCCATCCCCCGTGCACCTGTGCGCCTTCGCAGCTGCCAAAGCAAACGCAGGCTGCCCGACTTCGCCAGATTTTCAAAGCGGGCCGCCAGCCCCGGGCCACGGCCACGGCCGCCCCGGGCCCCCGCCCCCGGACCCCTCGTTTATCCGCTCGGGTTACAGCGCCTGTTGACGCACTGTGGCAGCCGCCTGCGCGCCAGCGGGGCCCGGTGGTTTTTCTCTGCAGTCGTCACCAGGTTTTCCCGAAGAAGAGTCCCTCCCGACCCGGGGCTGGGGGCGGCGAAGGCTGCCTCGGCCCGGCTGGCCCCAGGCGGGGCACGGCGGCGGGGAAGGGGCCGGGGCCGCCGGGGCGCAAGGGGCCGCCGGGGCTTGCGCGAGGCGCAGTACCGGGAATCCGTCCCCCCGGGACAGCGCGGCGGGAAACAGGACGAGCGCCCTCTTCTCCGTGCCCGCGCCCCCAGGCGCCAGGGGTGGCAGCGGCCTCAGGGGTCGAAGGAGGCGGCTTGGGCTCCCCGCGCTGCGAGACTCAGGCACGGACTGGGGCTGGGGCCGGGGCCGGGGCAGGCGCCCGCGGCGGGGGCGCAAGCGGCGCCCGGGAGCGGCTTGGGGCAGGGGCGCGCTCGGCCGGGGCGCTTGGTGGCCCCGGGCCCGCGCACTGGCGCCCAGACCGCTGTCATTACCTGGCCAGTGTAGTTTTCCCGGAGCCCGGGAGGCCTCGCAGGAGGTAGAGGTGTTTCCTAAAGCTGTGGCGGCGCGGAGGTGTCCCCCGCGGGGGCGGCCGGGGCGGCCGCTGCCGCTGCTGCTGCTGCTGTTGCTGCTGCTGGAGGCTCAGCCTCCCAAAAGATTGAAGGAAACTGTCCTCCATGGGCAGGAGGGCTGGCTGCGAGAGCCCCGGGTTCCCTTTCCTGAAGTCACGGTCTTGGCCAAAGCTGTTGTTTTTGTGACTCTCCGGCCATGTGATGGATAGAGGGGCGGGCGCTGGGAGCCCAGCCCCTCCTTTCCACCCGCCGGAACCGCGCTGCGTGGGAGGGGGCGTCCCTACCTGGAAAGCTGGGGACGCTGGGAGACTGACAGCCCGGAAAACAAGGGTGACGCACCCACCCCCACCTCGACCCCCGCTCCGACTCCTGGTGCCCTTCACCCTGAGGGAGGGGAGGGGAGGGGAGGGGCCCCGTCTAGTGGGTCTCTGGGACACTTTCCCGGCCTGGAAGCCAGGCCTCCTGCCACAGCCCTCCCCAACCCCAGCCCTGACCTGCCTAAACCCTGAAAGTGAAATCATTTTAGTTGATGATTAATGAGCTGCCCGGCATTGTAAATGGCAACAGTAAAGGCCATTGTCTTCCCCGATTTGTGGGCACCAACATCTGGCTGGCGTCCCAAGGGCTACTACCACTCTCCCAGGGCCTGTATCTTTTCTTGTTTCATCTTTCTTTAGCAGCCTGCCAAAAATATTATTAGAAAGCTTTGTTGCCTCTACATAACTTTGAATCTCTTCTTCCTCAGAAAAAGCAGCCATAAAACTCAGATTGATTTATGAACAGTAGCATAAGGGCTACCGCCCAGGTACCTGCCCTGTTGCCACCTGAGAAGTGGGGGGCTTCTTGGAGAACTCTTTCAGATCCCAGGGGAAAGTGGCAGAGTCTACCAAAACCATTTATAGAAGTATCCAGACTTAAGTTCTCAGTTCCAGGAACTAGGGAGCACCCATTGGTTGATCACCACTGTGACTCTCCAATAGTTCACCCTCAAGAGCGTGACAGAGTGATCCTGTTTTCTGAACCAAAATTCACCATGCCTGCCTGAAAGAAACAACATTCAGAATTGACACCATCCTGGCAAATCCAGAATATATGGTGGCTTTGGCTATAATAATTATTGTAAAGTAATAAATTCTATTTCTGGCAGCTGAGATACTAAAATTGTGAAAAGAAAGTATGAAAAAAGTGTGATTTCCTTCTAAAACAAAATCCAGAGATTTCACAGTTAGCTTTTAGGAAGGGACTGTCCAAGTGGGGAGGGGCTCTGTGCTGAGCATTTCCCTTTCCCCTTGGGATTTCTAGGGGTGGGGTAGGGTGGAGTGGGAGATGAGCTGCTCTCCCTTGAAAATCCATTCCCAGCACGGAAGAAGAAGACTTTCTTCATTCTTCTCAGCACTGCTAAGAAACAATGGAATTTCAGAGACCTCTAAATATTAGGAGGGAACCCATAAGGAACAGAAAATATACATGAATCACAAAAATAGTGACACAATCTCTGTATCCTATCATACTTCTTACAGGAATGTTTTGCCCAGCCTCGCATGCTACCTTTTTCATTTTAACCTGCACTGGCTAATATGGGGGCCACTGGTCACATGTGGCTAGTGAGCACTTGGAATGTGGCTACTGCAAACACGCTGTGCCCGGGCCCGATGCAGTGGCTCACACTCGTAATCCCAGCACTTTGGGAGGCCAAGGCAGGAGGATCACCAGGAGTTTGAGACCAGCCTGGGCAATATAGTGAGACCCTGTCTCTACCAAAAATTCAAAAATTAGCCAGGTATGGTGGTGTGTGCCTGTAGTCCTACCTCCTCAGGGGGCTGAAGTGGGAGCATCAGTTGAGCCAGGGAGTTTGAGACTGCAGTGAGCTATGATGGTACCACTGTACTTGAGCCTGGGCAACAGAGCAAGACCCTGTCTCCTAAAAAACATAAAGTAAAATTTTAAAAATACACACTGAATTTTGAAGATTCAGTATGAAAACAGAAATACTAAAAATTTTTTATATTGGTTATATGTTGAAATGGTATGCTGGGTATATTGGGTTAATAGATTATGAGAATTAGTTTCATTTATTTTTATCTTCTATTGTGGCTACTAGAAAGTTTAAGTTACATGCGTGGCTGGCATTGTATTCCTACTGGACAGGGCTGTGTAAGTATCCATCCACTTCCGTTTCCCTCTTTGTTAAGAGGTCCCAGGCAGCGGCCGCAGGAAGACACGCAGCTTTGTGGGCAGGGGTTTCAGCCCAGGGCTGGTGGCAAATGGAGCTATCTAACATGCCCGGAAACATGAGTGTGCTCCTTAGGAGAGGGGCTGAGCTCAGAGCTTTGGAAATCCTTGCTCCTATGAGAAGGAGATAGAGAAGAGAGCAGACAGCTGAGGAAAGGGTCCTGAGGACACCAGCATTTAAGGACTGTGCCCTCAAGTGGATCTAGCAAAGGAGAGGATGATTGAATGACCAGCAAGTAAACAGAACACTGAAAGATGCAGGGAAGCCCAGGGAGGGAGTCAGCAGTACCTGGAGACAATCCTACACACTTTCCTTTCACTTTTCTTTAGTTGACATTTAACTAGTCAACAAACTCTTATTTTCCCCAATGTATTCCTCAAAACCACAGCTTAAAGTAAACTGTTTGGGTATCTGTTTCCTCTCACTAGAGGCAGTGAGAGGGCAAGGAGAGTGTCTTATTTATCCTTGTCAGCCCAGGCTGTACCACAATATCGGCCTGACATTCAGAAGGTGCTTGATAATTGTATATGAACCTCAACTATTTTCTTAAAAGCTAATTCTGAGTTTGGGATTTACTAAAAATTAAAGCTGAACAGGCTGAGTGCAGTGGCTCGTGCCTGTAATCCCAGCACTTTGGGAGGCCAAGGCAGGCTGATCACCTGAGGTCGGGAGTTCCAGACCAGCCTGACCAACATGGAGAAACCCCGTCTCTACTAAAAATACAAAATTAGTCAGGCATGGTGGCACATGCCGGTAATCCCAGCTACTCAGGAGGCTGAGGCAGGAGAATTGCTTGAACTCGGGAGGCAGAGGTTGCGGTGAGCCGAGATCATGCCATTGCCCTCCAGCCTGGACAAGAGTGAAACTCCACCTCTAAATAAAATAAATGGCTGAACAAGATAGTGATAATGTAAAGGAGTAACATAAACAGAGCCAGCACGATCTCACTTTGCTACACTAGAAACCAATACTATCATGGACATAAAGAAAATAATCTTATAAACACTATTTTTGTTTTTTTGAGATGGAGTCTCGCTCTGTCACCCAGGGTGGAGTGCAGTGGTGCGACCTCAGCTCACTGCAAGCTCCACCTCCTGGGTTCACGCCATTCTCCTGCCTTAGCCTCCTGAGTAGCTAGGACTACAGGCGCCAGCTACCACACCCAGCTAATTTTTTTGTATTTTTAATAGAGACAAAGTTTCACCGTGTTAGCAAGGATGGTCTCAATCTCCTGACCTTGTGATCTGCCCGCCTCGGCCTCCCAAAGTCCTGGGATTACAGTCGTGAGCCACCGCGCCCGGCCATAAACACCGTTTTTGGCAATGAAGAAACATTGAAATTTTTCTCTAACTATCACTGTTTAACAAGATGTGGAAAAGTAAGAAGGTATGAAGGAAGAG